AGTCGAGGCTATATTTTGCTAGTCTATTCAAGCCTTTAATCGCAGTAAGCAGTTCATTTTCCCACAGAACTTTTTAATGCTACAAAACACTTCTAAGTACATACTCGCCTTATAGTTTTTCTTTAGATCTTCTTATTTTTCTTCTGGACAAGAATACCGGCCAAATATGCTACTTTATTTATTTTGTATTTTATTACTTCGAAATTCCTTGAGAAAACTTTTACTAAACGTCAAACTCAGTATAACCGACATTATCGACAAAAGTGGAGTATTTTTTTAGTAATTGAATACGCTATTTTGTTTACGGTTATAATATTTCTGGTAAAAGTAAAAGTTTGCGTAAGTGGATTCCAATTCTTTCATTATCGACTGCTTTAAGGCAGTGTTGAACGAAGCTTAAACGTATTTGGAACATGTTTTTTTTATTATTGCAACGTTCTGTTCAGAGGCAAACCTTTGAGCCTTCTAGCAAATCTAGATAAATTAGATATTTGAGTTGTATTAATTTGATACTAACAGTAAGTAAGGTGAATTGCCAGAATCTGTCATTAACGTGCAAAGCGAACCTCGACAGCAGTTGCGGCAATATCTTAATGAGTATAGGACATAAATGTTACAAGAAGTCCTTGAATTTATCGAGGTGCTGCGTGTCTAATGCGATCTGTGTAATTTATCAAGGTGTACTAACTTTGATATAGGTTAATCTATGAGTAATACTTTCAAAGCCCCCTTCATTTTGGTCGCATTTGTTTTCACAAAAAAGTTTTCTGAATGGCAGGTAATATTCGCAAATAACTCCTACTCTACAAATCTTAAGGAGAATACATAGTCTAATATCTACTAACACACTTCGATATGTGTATGACGAATCTTATAATAGTTGAATATTGTTTTAGGAACGTTTTTATTGTGTCATTAGATGACTTCATAGCGCGTCCGTTGAGTAAATGAAAAAACAGGCACACGCACACAAATACAAATGCATGGAATGCTCATAGAAATGAATAAAGTTGTCCTCAATCGCTCGCATGGGGCTAAACTAGGATACGTCATGACATCACGAGCGGTTATATTTGAAAGCTTTTGTTATTTTGTAATAATAAGTTTATATGAATTTTGCTCTATTGGGAATAGAAACTTCCTAAATGTCAGTCGATGAACAGATCATCTCATTTCAGTATGGACTAATGCTTCCAGAAACTGTACTATATTTGGGTTAACTCCGTCCTCTTCGGGATTATCTGATGTAATAATGTAGCGTTACTGCCTGTTTATAACATAATCTGACAGCCGCGCGTCAACTTTGAGCCGCGTCTCTAATTGAAGCTCTCTCTGACCTATTTATAGACCTTTATACAAAGTTATGTTTAGTTTATCTTTGTTCTCACATCTAGTACTTGAGTGTACGAGGAACTGCAGAGAAATTGGGTCATATTCGTTAGTTTAATCGTCTGTTTGTGTATACTCTCAGTTTATTGCGTTAATATGCAGACGGGAGCATACGTCATGTGTACATAAGGAAGCTTTGAACACTTACATTGTAAACTTTTTACTCTTTTTTTAAACATAAAAGCGTTAATGTTGCATTGACATTAACAAAGTAACGCTGAATGCACACCTTGTATGGTTGGTAATTTTGTACTTTTACGTATTGTATCCCAGTATGCATTATTGAACTCTACCAACTACATTGTAACATAGCTTTTTCCCGTAAAATCTTTTTGCAGCTAGCAAGTGTTTGTGAAATAGTTAGAGGCGCATTTGGCTTCAGCGTCTGTTTTTTATTGTTTCTTTGGAGTTATTAGAGAGTTATTCTGAGTAATAATTATCTGTCATTATGTCAGTGAAAAATTTACCTAATTGCATGTCTGAATCTTACAAATGTTCATGTTACGTTTTCAGAATACAATGCATAAAATGAAACGTACTTTTTGTTTGAATAGCATTAAAATTAAAGATAATTTAGAGCACATTAGATTGGAGCGGACTCAAGGATAATGTAGTTACTTACATAGTTGTACATTATATGTATTGGTACTGTCGCGATATCTGACTCCGGAGGCGTCACGCTCCAACTATTCAAACCGTTCACATGACGATATCTGTTACGCTGTATGTGGTAACAAGTGAAGGAATCTTAACTATTTCATGTGACATAACTATCCTGATTGCTTTGATATTTTCCTTTTAATAGAATAATCAGATAAATACTTGTTTATTCAAATATTGTTGCCACGGTTGCCTTCATAACTTATTAAGTTACGAGTACTTTGATTGTTTACTAATGGTGCAATATTTAAATTATTTGTAATTTAAATCACGGCCTAGAAATTCTTTTCCTCGTCTTTTGTTAATCTGTTACTGAATAAGCTACGCGTACGCGTTCAATGAGACAGAATCCGTTCGCTCCCGTACAAGGCCTAATCCGGTACGAGCTTAACTAATTTCCCACGAAACCGGCTTGTGACTGTACGTTTTTATTAATAGCATGGTAATTATAACATAACACTGTTCTTGTCTTTATTAGAATAAGTTATTTAATTTACCCAACATAACTGTGGGTCAACAAGATATGAATGTACACATTTTTTCAGTGCGTTCGAAGTGAAAAGTTTGGGAAAATCCTTACTAAGTAGGAAATTATTTTGTTTTGTATATCTTATGGTAACAGTGATATATTTTAAAATAAATAATAATACCCCTGAAATAAACTTGCTCTTCATGAGACCATGCAATATTGTGCTGATTTATGTTTGTGCATTGTGCAATTCGGGATTTCTGATGTTATCAAATGGATGTTTACTGAGTCGCTCAGTCTAGTGTCGCGATATGTTTGATTAATTTACAAATACGAGTGACGTGTTAGTGCTTAAGTGTGTACACAATGAGGTATCAATCACTGAGACCGTTACACACAATAGTGCGTTGTTATCAGAGCGGGCAGCTGCTACCAGTCAATGCGGGCCAGTCGGCGAGCGTAGGGCTTCCAGGCTTTGTAGGTTTAACTTGGAATAGAGTTCATGATCATAACTTCTAACTCAAACTTTCCAACAAGACGATGATTAACATTATTATTATTTAAAAACTTATTCAAAGCCAAATAGAACATGGCTCTACCTCGAACAAAATTCATCATTTGCCTTTTTAATTTTTTTAAGTGTATGTAAGCAGTTGGTAAAATACCTGCTTACATGTGTTAAATCACCTAATTAGACACTTTTATATGCTATTAATTGTTAATTATACATAATCGGAAGGTTAATTAAACATTACAAGTGACAAGTAAAAATTCTCAGCTTGAGAATTTGACTGACAAGCAAGCAACATATCATCAAATATTTAAAATCCTTGCTGGCCTGGCTACACTAGTCGCGTGATCGATTGAAAGTGACACTGATTACGTGCGTGATGTGCGATGACTGACTGTGCACCGCAGATTTCACTGGTTTGACACGACTCATGTAATTACTAAGTAGACATCGTCGGAGATGACCACACCATTATACGAGTATGGTATTCCAGTGACGATATTTGATTTTGACTGGAGCTACTCGTACCTATAAGGGCGCTGAATAGACATATTCCACTTTGGGCACCCACGCAAATAGCACCCAGCAAATAGATATAAAATTACATGGAATTACTCTGATTGCAATAGGCCAGGTGCTATTCGTGCAGGAGCTATTATCAATCAAATCAAAATCAAAATCAAAAAATATTTATTCAGTTTAGACCACAAGTGGCACTTATGAACGTCAATAGAAAATAATAAAAAAAGAAAAAGGTAGCCCTTATGGGGCACTTTACATGTCTCCTTATCTTTTGGGCCCTACCAGCGCTTCGAGACAAACATATGGCAAGTGCTGAGAAGAAACGCCGGAACAAACTCAGTCACCACTTATTGCCAGGAATTATCTAACGGTAAGAATAGTCAAATTTAAGTACATCAAATATGTGCAGACTGAACTGACCACGCATCCTTGTCATCAATATAGTCTCGAACCTTGTAGTACCCTTTGGACATAAGGGTATTTTTTATATGTATCTTAAATTTGTTTATTGGCAATTCGACAAGGTTGTGTGGTATTTTGTTAAATATGGTAATACATTTCCCCAAGAATGAATTACCTATCCTATGCAACCTAAATGATGGAACAGCAAGTTTATTCTTATGTCTCGTGTTAAATGAGTGGACGTCACTTTTCTTAGTAAATAAATGTATATGTTTACGGACATACATAATGTTATCAAATATGTATTGCGAAGCCACAGTCAATATATTGATTTCTTTAAAAACTTCTCTAAGTGAGTCACGTGGTTTTAGACCGTATATTGCCCGAACAGCTCTTTTCTGTAAAATGAAAATTGATTCTATGTCTGCTGTATGTGTATTAGGGCGGGTGCTCAAAGTGGAATACGTCGCTGAATAACTTCCAGAAGTTAAACTAGTTTTTGGAAGAAAAACTCCACTCGATGAAGATGTAACAGCTTAGTTATGTTGTTAACGTTTGATTGATCGAGGCTAATTGACTAGAAATAATTACTGTCGAACTTTTATCGTATGATAAGTCATAATTAATTGCAATCGTGAAAATGCTTACTTAATTAATAGTTAATTAATTTATAAATAAAATACTTTCTAAGCCTTTCAAAGACAATAGTTTCACCAAACCTTACTTAAGTTACTAACAATGTTGTTTATAATATGTACCTAATTGTTGATATTTTTATTTCATGTGTTCAACACGTGTATCTGTGTAATATTCAGCGAGCAGTCGCCCGGAAATCGAAACGTCGTAGGCTCAATACTTACCTAAGGCAATTATTTAACGACTCTTAAAATTTTTTTTGAGATGTCATTCTTAGCCTAAGTTGCACCACCACCTTCACTTTAACCATAACTATAACCGGTAGTTTTTATGGAGTTTGCCAGACTTTTGACGTTTGTTATAGTTAATGTGCAAAAATCCTAATTAACTGTATCCAATGCAATGTTACAGGTTTCAAACAACAATGGCGAGTACACAACCAGAAGCCTGCCGAGGGTGCGCCTGGACGGCGGCCCGCACGCCGGCAGCGGCGTCCGGCTGCGCTGCTGGGCCGCGCCGCCTTCCATCACCGAGGAGGACATCGAGGACGACATGGAGGAGGATGCGGTGTCGCTGCGCGCTATGCCTTCACAAGGTAGGTTTTGAATACCTTTCTAATGGAACAATTCCTATTATTAATTGATTGATTCTGGTTTTTCTTCTACACAAAAGATCTCATAATTAGCGCCATCTAGTGAGCAGTAGAAAAAGCATACAAGTGCTTTAGTAGCAGTGCTTGTGCTGTTGAAAGCAGGGTTTGATTGTTTGCTACTCAACACTAGATGGCGCTGTACTTATTTTAATACTACCCCAATAGGTGGCAGCACTGGACAATTAAGTTGAACGGAATTTAATAAACAATATTACTAATGAATTTTACTAAAGTTTATTGTAATATGTTTTATTAACTTTATAACAGAAATCATATTTTTATTCATTTGTAGTTTGCAGTATAATTAATTTTCTTACACTGACTGACTACATTATGTAGTCTCTTGATAAATTTTTGAGCGCGCCCACTACGCGTCGACAGAGGGCGCAACGTAACGCGTTGCATTTGCGTCCGCGCACCTCGGCACGGATCGATTACGGCGGTTTCACGTAGTGATGGGCCAACTCGGGAAAAACAAAACTCGATTTAACCCGAGTTAAAATCCACGTAACTCGGGTTGAACTCGAGTTACGTAACTTGAGTTAACTGGATGGACAAGTCAGTTTTTTACTTATTTTTACCAGTTTATTCCCTCAGATTCGTATTAACATTTAAAAAAATATCATTTATAATGTATTATGAGAATCATACTAACTAAAGTAATTAAGAAAAAATATTGTTTGAAATATAATAATTTATTTATGGATTTTTGACTTGAATTTTAATTTAAAAAAATATTTGTATTTATTATCACTTGGCATTTTTCAAAAACAGAACATAAAACACGAAAATCTACAACAATAACCGGCAGTTTAAAGTTAACTTCAAATGAACATAGTCTCAATACTCAAATGATCGGCAATCTTCGGTCCATGTCGGATCCATTCGGTTTACGATACGAACTCGAATCAGAGAGAATTCAACTCGAGTGGGTTCGAGTTACGCCCAACTCGAGGTAACTCGAGTTACTTACTCGAGTTGACCATCACTAGTTTCACGCCCTCGCGCATACTTGTGCTCTTCTTATTGCATCCATTATTAGAGATCGTCAGCTTAAGTTTATGAACGAAAATAGTTAAGACTTTTTTGCCTTTAAAAGCTTGTTTTCTAAAAAGAAATGTGGCTGAAGGATTTGTTTTTATTTTTATAAAGATAGGCGAAGTGTTTTATTCAACAGCCAGCAATCAGAGTACTTTTATTGCGTAGGTACCTACTTACGTATGATATGTATTATGATTATGAGCATTAATTAGATTAATTAATCTTTAAAAAATAACATTCCCGTTAATCGATATTGATTAGGTATTGACGGCTCTTCCTTTTTCAATGCATAGTAATTGTAAAAAAAATATTCATTTTTTTACATTTCAAGCGATTTCTTATCCAAGTTGGTAACGCTTGTTTCCAAATAAATTCCCAGTCAGTCACACCCTTACTTATTAATCTGTATTTTCTAATATCGTTTGTACATAAACCTTGGTTTATTACAAGGTTGCCACAAAAACTGTCTCTCATGTAGGTAAATATATTGAATGTATACCTGGAAAAAAGGATTCCAAAATAAGTTTTCTCCGGGCGGGGCTAGTAGATCGGGCCGTATGCTCGTCATCCTTAACATTTGGCAAGTGCCACGATAGAGCCGCTGTAGGCCCAGCGCTCTAAATGTGTTTTTTAACTGCGACAAAACATAGCAATTGGATACGCGCCGGTCACCGGCCCTTCGCGGCTGCGCAATCGAGCTAAAACGGGCGTAATTAGACGCGCCCGTTTTTAATTGACAATGCTCCCTAGGGCACGCCGGCTCGTCTTCCCCGACACTGTGACAATCAATCTCTTTGGTGGAGTGAACGAGCCAGACAGAGCCACAGCAAGAACAAAACATCTAGCACACTTCTCTTTGAATCTTGCAACTTTTTTATAACTTTTCCATATTAATAAAATAATAACACTAATAACCGTGTAAATATAGAGCAGATTTTCCTTATAGGGAAAAATATGTTTACGGGATAATTACAGCACAAATAAAACATTACGCGCAAACTACTACATGCATTTGAATAAACTTTAGCTGAAATTTACTATTTCCATCGTCCTGCTATTTTCTCCATTGTGGATTCCAATGACCGTAAACTTACGCTTTACTAGTAAACAAATTATTGACTGTCACGAACGAAGTGATTGCAGAAGTAGTAGTAGTGGGATAACGGAAGATTTGTCTATTAAGGGTTGCACCATCTTACTTTAACTTTGACAAACTCCATACAAAAAGCACCGGTTATCTTTAAATTTACTGTCAAAGTTAAGTGGTGCAACTCAGCCTAAAAGTGTAAAAAGTTATTGTTCTGGTTGTTTTCTTCAGGCTGTGGTGATACCCTTGTTAATGATGCAGAATGGTAGGGTTACAGGGTGAGCGGTGTGATGGTATTGTCTGGGTTTACGGCTTTGATTGTAATGAGACGAAGCAATCGTAAATTGTTGCAAAATACTACAACGAGTTCCGAGAGCTTTGTGTTTCTTTACTGAATGAAAAGGGAAAGATCTAAAAAGGTATAACTGAGCTAAAAGTAGTTGGTTGATGGATGGAAATGCGTTCTTAATTTGTCTATGCTTCATTTTATAGTTTATAGCTTTCCGCCCGCGGCTTCGCCCGCGTGGAATTTTGTCTGTCACAGAAAAACTTTATCGCGCGCGTCCCTGTTTCAAAAACCGGGATAAAAACTATCCTATGTTCTTTCCCGGGACTCAAACTATCTCTATGCCAAATTTCATCAAAATCGGTTGCGAGGTTTAAGCGGGAAAGCGTAACAGACAGACAGACAAACAGACAGACAGACAGACAGACAGACAGACAGACAGAGTTACTTTCGCATTTATAATATTAGTTGGGATGAATTTGAGAATAGTTCTCTATATTTTTCCTTTATTCATATTTTTTCTCAACAACAATGTACTTTTATAAAAAGGGAAACCTTTCATTGGCTATACTATCAGTCTAAATCTTATAACTAACATTTTCAATGTATCGCTGTTGGTTTCTATAAAATAAATAAATAATAAACGAAGAAAAGAGATGTTACAGTTAGTTTGAGAGACTGTAAACAGTCTCAGCTCCCCTGTCCCTTTCAGACAGTCGTATGAATATTTGATAGAGTTCTTTGTATCACTTTCAAGTTTGACTCTACCTTCTGTAAAGCTACTTAAGATTTAGGCAACATCGAAATCACTTGCATAGTTTTCTGAAACAAACCAGCGACTGATGAGACTTGACTCTATGTGCCTTATAAAAAGTTAAACCAGCGATAAACACTGGTTTAAAATGACATTTCCATATTAAATGTCAATTTAAACTAGGGATCAATGTGTATCGCGTAATTAATGACTGTCAAAGAACGTGTGCCATAAGCTGTCCTATAATTATGTTGTCGAACAAAATTACCGCCTATCTGTAGTAAATTTACCCCACGCGACGCCACATAAAGTGTTGCATGATTGGCGTTAAATTTGCCGATTGAATCACACTAGTTATATCACGTCGTAATACATGGAACTGGACGCCATAGTACTCATGCTGGGATTGAAAAAATAAATGATGAATAGATAATAATTAATTACCAATGGGATACGCTTTGAGATGTTTTTGGAAGTAGGTGGAGTTCACTCAATTTAATGTGGGTGGATGTAACTTATTAACTAATTAAGTGGGAAGTAGCGGCATGTTCTCTTTTATAATACGCAAAGATACATGATGCTGAAGATAAAATAAAAGAAAATTGAAAAATGTCGCCTGTATTTTGGTTTTAATGAAGCCTAAGCAGCTTTAGTTAAGACGATTAAGTTCGAGCTTTATTGTCCCACAGTAAAATTAAACCGGAAGTTTTCGTCATGATCATAACAAAGACATTATAAGTAATGTTGCAAATAATATACTTAATGTAGAGTAATAAAAACCTGTCGCAACGGAGGCCATGGGAATGGGCTAATCCTACATTGCGGAGCATGAGGCCGCCATTTTGTATGCAAGACGATGCTATCTGTTCCCGACGATCATTGAATTAGGATCACATCACGGTAACCATTCAAGATTGGAAGATTGCAATCGTTGACGCAACTGCATCCCATTCAAATAGGGCATTGTTGTTTTAAACTCGACGTCGGAAGTAGGTAGGGCTATTGCTACCTTATAGATCACATAAAGCAATAACATTAACATAATATGTTCTTCATAACAATTGCTGAGATATTTTATTGCGCGTGTGACAAGCACGTCAACTATGTCTATTAAAAACATGAGTAACAGCAGTTATGAAACAATTCCAATCAACAAACGCTTGTAAGCAGAATGTTTATTGCTTGTTCGGAGTCTGTAAACAAAGAGTCGTCGGAATCTTGAAAAACTCATCATAAGTTTTTAATTCGGAATATTTCAAGCTGTCTTTTAAAATACGTTGCAAAATATTAAGAACGAGAAAAACAACAGTTAACTATCCTGTCTTTCGACACAGCTAACTTTCTGTTTCAAAATGCAAGTCGATTGACGAGTCCAAAATAGCAGATGCACCATCTACCGACCTCCTGTCGAAAACGCGCTTCTAAATCGGTCCACCTTGCGTTAGTTTTTTATTTTGTTGTTCTCAGCCCGTTCTGTCATATTCATGTGGTTAGAGACGGTTACAGCGACAGATTACATAAAGATACTGGATGGGTTTTCTGGTTTATTATTTCGACAGATTTTGTTCAAAAATCTAGTAGATTAGAGAGAGTCTTCCTCCTGCAGTGGAGACCAATAGACCTAATGATGACATTCTACAACTGGGTGAAAAGATTGTGCATGGCATTGTGAACGTGTGTTATTGTATCTACCATCTATTTCACTCAACTCATTAGTAGGTATGTAGGTATCAATACCTATCTAAAAAGACAAGCGGCAAGTCATACTTTTTAAT